AACAGCTAGAGAGCCACAGGTTGCCTACCCCTGGCCTAGGCGATCTGAAACGGAGGTTGTCCTCCCTCCCCGTAATCTTTTGGGACACGTGACAGGTCCCAGAAGATGATGGGGCCATTCAGGAAGCGCAGTGCTACTCGCGCATGTGCAGTGCGCACCCGGCTGTGAAGCTGCAAACTGTCACAGCCGGGTACCCACATTGAAGATGCCGGCGCCTGGAACACTAGATGGCTGGTGAAACGGGCTGCGGGGAGGACACCGCGGGATCATGGGACAGGTAAGTGGCTGTTTTTTAAAAGTCAGCAGCTACAGTTTTTGTAGCGACTTTTATTTTTTCACAGTGCGACTGGAACAGTGTAAAGTACATAAAGCATAGACACCAGGTTCATATTACAGTTTGTCTCCTAAAAGTTCATCTTCTTCCTGCTGTCAGTTTGCAATATTATTTTGGTGCAATCTACGTCTGTGTAATGTATAGTACTGATGGTCATCTCCATCTAGCAGCCGATGTGCACACTACTTAGTTCAACGTTATCCCACTAGAGCGTGCGCATGAAAAACCTCTAGAAACCTGCAAGAGGGGCCCAAGGTTTTAATTGTCTAGGGGCCTCCACAGAGTTTAATCCGGCTCTGACCAGGTAGGGTTCATTAAGATCTCTCCAGGGCAATGTATTGATAAATTATCTGTTGCAGTGTCATTCCTTGTCAACGGCACCTCAATGCACTGAACAAGTGCAACTCCACCGCACATGTGTTGCAGCACACCACAATGCATGGTAAAGCTGCAGCAGAAAAAATGGTGTATGTACAGTTTTTGGGCTCCTCTGGTGTATTGGCAGCCCATTCATTAAATTGCAGGAATGAGCACTTTAACACATGTTACTTGCATTGGCGCATTGCAGTGGCATTTATGTGAATGGCACTCCAATGTGCTAAACACGGAACAAAAAGATTTAAATGGGAGAGCTATGTGTGACCTCATTTCACTTGTGTTAGAAAAGTCTGGTTGGCGGCATATCCATAACACCACCTTTATTGAAAAAACTTTGTCAAAGACACTCCCCAATGACCTATTTACACTTACTGTAGTAAGGTCTCTTTTTTTGCCATAGCCAAAATGGCTTTTTGAGTGGTTAGGAAGGGGGAGAATATATACTTGATAAATACTTGACAGACCACCTTTCTGTTCCTCTTATAAAATACTCAGTACTTCTGGATATAAGGGAGCATGTGATGATGTAGCTCTGGATCCCGAGTGACTAACCTCCAGGAGTACTGGAGAACATCCTTTGCACCATGTAAGCTTTGACTTAGTTCATTTTGAAACCTATACAGGGCTTTTTCTTAAGGCTCTGATGTGCAAATACAGGGAAGAAAAGTATCTGCAGGTAGGTATTTAAGGTTTGCTTTAAAGCTGAATTAAGGGCAGATTTTTGCATTTAAGCCTTTAAATCATTGCAGCCACAATCAGTGGATCCTGGGTACAATGCTTTGGCTCCTGTAGACTCTTTCCCCAGCCCCTGGTGCGTATCAAGGTATGGACCTTCATTTACAGAGCTGGAAGAAATATCAATGGACTACAAGTGCAGTGACGTCACTGCTTTTGTGCTCCATTGAGAACTACAGACCCTCTGCCGTGGTGACATATGGGACTTAAATTCATTCACAACTTCATGTGAATGAATGATGCAGCTGTGCGGGTGGAGCCATGCATATTCACACCAGTATAAAATTTGACAGGATGCTACAGAGAGAAGAACCCTGCAATCCTCTAAATCAAAAGAAAGGTGTGCGATTTTCAGATGGTGGGTTGTGCATACTGACTGTGGCTCATTTTTACACCTTAGCTATGCATTAAACATGAGAAAAGTGGGGTTATCTTTTAAGTGTAACTATGAAAGCAAGTAGTGTAAGTACTGAAATTGACTTGGTATTAATCTCTTGCCACTCTGTACAGCAGAGCTCAGACTAGTAGAGGAAGAGGCAGCACATAGACCCAGTCAGGAGTTGTGTGGTGCTCATGTACTAAGAAGGAACATGCTAATAGGAGGAGAGTGCAGAGAGATGAGGTTATTAGTCTGCTGCTGATACTTCGGGGTTTATTTACTAAAGCTGGAGAGTCCAAAATCAGACTCCCTTCTGCATAGAAACCAATCAGCATCTAACCTCAGCTTGTTCAATGAAGCTTTGGCAATGAAACCTGGAAGCTGATTGGTTTCTATGCAGAAGTGAGTCTGATTTTGCACTCTCCAGCTTTAGTAAATAAACCCCTTCATGTCCAATCACAGACTGGAGGTCGGACAAGAACTATTTGTATTACTTAACTGCAGCAGAGAAAAATCAGGTCTTCAAGCTGGCTGTACTGTCTGGCAGGGCTATGTAAATATTCTTGACATTGGACATTCTTGGTTTATATTTGTAGCACTACCCCCTTAGGAGTTGTTAGAAGATTAGGGTCCCCCTATAGTCCTGCACAACCAGGCATCACACACCTTCACAAAAGCTTGCATGCATAGTCAGAAATCAGTCCTTGAGCTTTGGTTTTGTTGTTTTATTTAGGGGATTTGAACTGATATAGGGTTAGGGGTGTACAGGATGCCAGGGGTACTGATGAACTTAGGACAACTTCCTGGAACTATTTACGAGCCTTCTCTGCAGCACAGTCTCTGTTGGAGAGCTAGCCAACATCTCCTTAATGTACCACCCCAGACCCTAGATGAACTTCTCCTTTTCACACAGCAATCTGGAGGTATCCCCTGAACAGGGCATCCGGTTCCTGTCACTTTAAGAGATGAACAGTCACTGGCAAGTGGCTAATCTGGTTTCTTCCCCTATCCGCCCAGGGGGTTCAGGTATTCTCATTCAGATATGCTCCTGTATCACTGGTGGGTTGGTGGCTGCTATCAAGCCCATCAGCTGCGCTGCTCCTTCCCTGCCATACAGGTGGTCCTCACTCGGGGGACTCTGTGCTTTCCTCCTTTCCAGCTCCCAGGCTTGCAGATATGCCCCATCTTACTGGGCCTCCTTGCAGCCTCCTGCCTTCAGCCTCACATTTTCCTCTCTATTTTTCACCCAAACTCTCCTGCAACTGAGCAGGCTTCAACACTTTTAAAGGTGCCCCAGCCCCTTGCCAGCCTCCTGTTGGCAATTGGCTAGGACACTTCAAGAGTGCAAGCCAGCCACTCCTCAGATCCACCCACTGCCTCTAGGGCCCTCCTCCAAAGCCCTAGAGCAGGGTGAAATTCCAGAGGGGCTGACCTACAGAGCCTCTCAGCTCCTGTGACCTTCTAGCTATTACACCCAGGCTGCTACTCAGCCTTTCTAACTAACAATCACAACACTAGCTCCCCCTAGCTAAACTAGGAGGGTGCTACATATTTTTCAAAATTGTATACAGCCACTAGAGGGGGAACCTATATATTTATACCAGACAACGCATGCACTTCTGCTAGGTGACAGTACTGGATATAGTCTGCACAGGACCTCTGTACAAGAAGTTTTGGGCGCACTATTCATTACCACCCAAGCAAACAATACAAACAATACATGGATGTAGGTAAAGAGCAGGATGCCCTGAACTGTCTTCTGGTCCATAATGTTCAACCTGGGTAAGGTAGATAGATGAGGAGATAGAAGAAGAATTCTGCTGACCAAGCAGGAAGTATAGGAGGTTTTCACTGTCCATTACCACAACTAACAACTCTGTATGTACTCAGTGAACCTCCCTTAACTTTTATTGCAAGTTTAATCTATGTTTTAGACTTTGTATTAGAATGGGAGCAATCAGACAAACCGTTGCTTATCCATTATGCATAAAGTACTGGCTGTGTGGATATGACAAACACAGGGTGAAAATTGCTTTATTTTCTCTAATATGTGTAGTTCCAATATCAGGGTTTCTTGACCAAGGTTCCACAGAACCCTAGGATTCCTCCAGAAGTTGCTAGTGGTTCCTTGAGCAATGAAAGTTTCTGCCTCTTAGATAAGTTCACACTGACACCAGGAGCAGACTGACCATTTGGAGTTTGGGCAAGGACACAGGGGCCCCATGATCCCCTATTGCCCGGGGGCCCCATGAGTTGTCAGTCCGCCCCTGACTGACACCATTGATCTTTTTAGCAATGTCTAAGGGGGTAATTCTTCCCAATGACCAACGTTTAAGGAGCATCCTCCCCACTGATCATCATACTAATGTATCATGAGTTGTAGCTGTAGTAATTTTTAGCAAGGGTTCCCTGAGACTGGAAAATTATTTCAAGGGTTTCTGTGTACTGAAAAAGATGAGAGGCTGTCCTATATTGTTAGTGCCATCTAACGGCACTAATGCTTTTTTTTTTTTGTCAGAAAAGCCTCAGGAATCAGGAAACAAAATGTATTGTGGCCACTAAATGGTGCAGGAGATATAGGAACCACACATAATCGAAGAAGCACATAAATTGTGTGGCTGTTTGTTACATCCGCACAATGAATGCTTATACATTGACCCTTTAGACTCCTGAAAGACAAAGGTAAACGCTTATGTAATAATAAGCAAGTCATAATGGTTCCTCTACAGAATTCTGGCACTGGAAAAATGAAATATATGCAATTCCATTGGTAGCTGTAGGGAACAAAATTGGTTCTTCTATTAAAGACTAGGTTCACATGAAGTATGTGCGGGCTGAGAATGTGTGCATAATTGCGCGTGTTCCCAACCCACAGGCAATGCACTGCTCTTTAGCAGACACACGTGGGTACAATTAATTCCTAATGGAAACCCCCATGCATGAGAAAATGCGGCGTGTATTCGGGTGCATGAAACTGTATGGTGCCATAGCACCATGCGGTCCACTGTGGCTGCATTTTTAAAAAGGGTCGGTGACCTTTTCCTTGCATTTCCCAAAGGTACAACAGCCCATTCAAATGCGCATGTACAGACCTGCACAACCTAGATGAATTATGCCTATATTCTTTCTCATTATCTGTGTTTACCATTTTCTTTTCTCAATTCTCATGTCTAGGTACGGTGTGTGCCTGATTGGTGTTTGCCGGGAAGATAAAGCCAACATTTTCCTGAATCCAGGTCCTTGCCATATAATGTCACCTACAGATACATGTTTCTACATCAACATATCTAAGGAGGAGAACTCAGCCTTCAGTTTTAAAGAACACGAGCACATGCAAAGATCAGGAGCGCCCAAATCGGCTTATCATGGCCTAACCAGGCTTCCAGTACACAGCATTATAGCCAGCATGGGTATGTCAAGTATGTGTTGGGGAGGTCATTCCTAAACTGATATTTATCATACCTTCCAAAGAGCCAAAGTGTACCTGTATTTAGAACTTTGCAAAAGATCAAACTCAAGCCCATCAATTGAAGCCAATACATAGGGATGATTAGTTGGGTAAGAAAACCAGTCAATTGCTGTTCATTTAAAGTGGTTGTAAACCTCAAATAGTTTTCCTGACACCTAAAAAGGTGACGTGGGAGGGCACAGCCTGTGAATGACAGCCTTAACTCTGTTCCTGTATGCTGTGTGAATGGGGGGGGGGGGGGGGTCCTTTCAATACAATCAGCTCTCAGACCTCTTGTACAGTGTGTATCTGCAGGTCCCCCCCCGCACTTTGTGAGTCTGTGAAGAATCCTTTTCATCTCTGAGTTTTACAAGGATGTGCAGGACAAATGGTTGCAAATAAACAGGTACAACTTATGTAGGAGGATTTTATTTCACTTCCTGTGTATCACCTGAGACCAGTCACTTTGCTGGATATAGGTAAAGGTATAAAAAGAAAAACACAAAAGGGAGAACTCTCCTCCTGCATTACTGTGGTTACAAATTAATTTATTAAAAACGTGACAAATGGATACTCATAAAACAAATGTAAAAAACGAACATGAGGCCAAATGGATCAATGTTAAACAACTGGAGTCCTGTGATGATGGTGCCCGGTGGGAAAAGTTAACGTATTTTTGGAGTTGATCTCCCTTTTTCAAAGCTAAGATGATACAGAATGCCCATGCCACATATATAGGGAGAATAACTGATTGAAATCATCACCATACCCCCTCCATGGAAAATAGCCCCACTGCTGGGTTCTAAAGCTAGTTATAGGTAAGGGTATACAACCACTTTAAGGAGGTGCAGAGTTGCCCCAGCTCAGGTTAGTAGGTTGGTTGATTAGCTGCAACAGAGGGCAGAGGTGACATTGGGAGTCTAATAGACAGCAAATGTCTCCATAAGGAGAACTAGTCAGCTGCCTATACTATCACTCTATCACTCTGTTTATAGCAATAAAGTTAAAAATTAAAAAGAAATGTTTACAAATTAAATACACTTATGTAACAAATACACATGTACACATAGGATGAGCAGATGTATTTAGCAATTAGATCACACATAATTTTCCCCAAATTTGAAGTGAGCAACAATTGGGCCATAATTCAGCGATAACTCTTAATCAATAGCATGTTAAGGCTTTTCCAATTTTGGGAACTATAGTTTTCCCCATTTCATTGACGTGTGCAGTTTTAGGAAATGTTATGTACAGTATATTATTTACCTGACACAACCCCATCAATTATATTTGATCAAAAATGGGTTTGTGTGCACTAAAATTAATTTTAGCAGATTTTTTTCCAGAAAATTTACTTTGATAAACAGCTGTACAAATATTGTGTGACATAAGAAATTGCAACTGCCATCAATTTATTCTACAGGTCTTCTGCTTACTGAAAAAAAAATTGGGTGTTTGAATAATTTTCTAGCAAAAAATGCAGATTTTAACAAGTGTGTGAAATATTACAAAATTGCTCTGGACATAAAGTGGTTAAAGTAGAACCATGGTCTGGTTATGGGATTCAATAATTTATAAGCTGACTTCTGTAGCTGCAGGCACTGTGCAGTAATTCATCCTGAAGGTTTACAGCAGAAAGTACTTTACGTTTAATTTCAGCAGCTCAGTTCCCTCACTCACTGCTGCCTCCAGCTCCATAGGTGAGTGAGGACTTGTGTTAAAACCAGGGGCGGACTGACCATTTGGAAACTTGGGCACTGCCCGAGGGCCCAGGGTCAGTAGGGGGCCCCATGAGATGCCCCTGGTACCTTTTTTCATAGGCTTTTTTGAGTTTGGGCAAGGACACAGGGGCCCCATGATCCCTTATTGCCCGGGAGCCCCATGAGTTGTCAGTCCGCCCCTGGTTAAAACATATTTAACAAATAGATTTACTAAGAGGTTTGTCCTGTTTTATATATTTTAGTCCTCCGTTGAAAAGCACATGGCAAACGCTCAGAAAACACTCCATTTATACAGCCTGCTTATATTCTTTTATAGGCACAGTGGCCATTGATCTTCAGGGGTCAAGAAGCCCAGAGAGTGTTGATGGCAACTTGCTAAGCCCACCAACCGACTCCAGTCATAAGAGAAAACATAGCATCGATCCCGTGCCTGACTTAATTGATGGTGATACCAGCACATCCTTCGACCTTTTGAGTGACCAGTCTGAGGATGAGATCAGTCAGTCAGATGAAGAGCTGGGCTCTTATAATGAGTAAGCTGATGACAATGTGTAGAGGACCATATGGAATTTTCAGAAACACCTGGTAGTCTCATTACACAGATTGTTCTCATTCTTCTCTTTCAGCTGGGTAAAGGGCTATCCCTCTAATACACCTTACATTGGCAGCTCACCCACTTTATGTCACTTACTCCATCAAAAGAGTCCATACTGCTGTCTGCGACTTGATAAGGTAATGTAGGCATGTACTTTGAATATGTATTTTAAAAACTGTATACCGGCCTTTCTCAACTTTTTTTTTCCAAAGGAACCCTTGTAATAAATTTTCAGATGTTGAGGAACACCTACTAAAGCCAATTCATTGGGGGTCACTGGGAAAAAATACCCAATTTACAGTGATGGCCAGCTAAAACGATTATTGGTGATATGCAATTGGCTCTGCCAAGTAGCAATGGACCTGGAATTTTGCAGGCACCTTCAAATTGGAGGTCAATCAGCCACAGCTCAAGGAAACCCTAGCATCCTCTGGAGGACCCTCCCATGGAACCCTGGTTGAGAATGGCTGCTATATACTATTAAAATATTTCATCACATTTTACAACTTTGCTCTGTATGGGTATGGTTGGATTCCTAATTGTTGCCATTTATCTGCTACTAATATTCTTGCTTGGCTCTGCCAAGTAGCAATGGACCTGGAATTTTGCAGGCACCTTCAAATTGGAGGTCAATCAGCCACAGCTCAAGGAAACCCTAGCATCCTCTGGAGGACCCTCCCATGGAACCCTGGTTGAGAATGGCTGCTATATACTATTAAAATATTTCATCACATTTTACAACTTTGCTTTGTATGGGTATGGTTGGATTCCTAATTGTTGCCATTTATCTGCTACTAATATTCTTGCTTGGCTCTGCCAAGTAGCAATGGACCTGGAATTTTGCAGGCACCTTCAAATTGGAGGTCAATCAGCCACAGCTCAAGGAAACCCTAGCATCCTCTGGAGGACCCTCCCATGGAACCCTGGTTGAGAATGGCTGCTATATACTATTAAAATATTTCATCACATTTTACAACTTTGCTCTGTATGGGTATGGTTGGATTCCTAATTGTTGCCATTTATCTGCTACTAATATTCTTGCTCTTGAGGAACATCCAAATGGTGTTGCCTCCAAAGGGGGAGCTTTGGGTTTCGATGCAAATTGAAAATAAAGGACAACATACATCTCACAGATAATAACATCAATTTACATATAAATGCTGCTCACAACATAACAGACTTGTAAGCACAAAAGCCTCTATTAGTTCACAAGAAGGCAATAATGATACTTCCATTCTATGGGAATAGGAGGAAATCTTTCTGATCCAGGGTCAGAGCTGTCACAATGGATCTGGTAGCTGTTTCTGCACCTGCTATCCCACTAAGAAACGAGAGAATGGCAGCAGCCAAAAACATTGCTATGAGTGATTTATTTAATTGGTTGGGGATGTGGCAGCATCAGGGCCAAAGTTGTGGATTCTTTTCATAGTGTGCCAAGGACTAGTCACACGATAGACACCTTGCTGATCAGTACAGGTTCTTTCAGGCACCTTAAAATGTTTGGTGTATAAAATATCGATATGGCTGAGCAGCAGCAAAAGGTATCTGCAAGAACTATTTAAATCTTGCAAAAGTTCAGGGCCCCCCTTTCCTGGGAGTAGCATTAACACAGTGTAGGTTTCCATTTCTTGTAACTCCAGGACCTGCCCCATTGCAGCCAAGCCACGTCCTTGCTATTCAGTGGCAAGTGCAATGTCAGAGCCACTGTTGGCTGTACCAAACCTTTGCATACATGTGCTGGAGTATTCTAAGGTTTAAAAAAAAATTCTTTAGCATGTTTCCACCTATTATTCTTTCACTCTAGCCTGGTAGTGCTACTATATTAACAGGCAAACAATATAGCGGTAAATTATTTTATGGTGCTTCTAAAGCATTTCCCAACCTTTTTTTAGTCATGGTACCCTTTAAAAATAGGCAAAATCTTGAGGCACCCCATTCTAAAGTGTAAACAGCATAAATGTTACATATTAATGGGTAACCAGAGCCAGGGACAATTCACACAGCTGCACTGAAGAAATTAACTTCATATTAGAAGCACTCCTTCACATTGAAGTTTCCTGTATCACACCAGAGGTCCCACATTCACATCAGAAGGCCCCCCATCACATCAAAGGTCCCCCTTCACATCAGAAGGCCCCCCCCCCATCACATCAGAGGTCCCCCATTGTGTAACAGGTCCTCCCAAAACATCAAAGTCCCCCCATTATTTTAGAGTCAGCACTTCACTTTAGAGGCCTCCATCACATCATTAGTAATACCACACCTGGAATATGCAGTTCAGTTTTGGGCACCAATTCACAAAAAGAACATTGGGGAACTGGAGGAAGTACAGAGAAGGGCAACCAAACTGATAAGAGGCATGGAGGAGCTCAGCTATGAGGAAAGATTAGAGGAACTGAATTTATTCTCTCTTAAGAAGAGGAGATTAAGGGGGGATATGATCAACACAAATAATACATAAGGGGGGATATGATCTCCATGTATAATACATAAGGGGGGATATGATCTCCATGTATAATACATAAGGGGGGATATGATCTCCATGTATAAATACATAAGGGGTGATATGATCTCCATGTATAATACATAAGGGGGATATGATCACCATGTATAATACATAAGGGGGGATATGATCACCATGTATAATACATAAGGGGGGATATGATCACCATGTATAATACATAAGGGGGGATATGATCTCCATGTATAATACATAAGGGGGGATATGATCTCCATGTATATTACATAAGGGGGATATGATCACCATGTATAATACATAAGGGGGGATATGATCTCCATGTATAATACATAAGGGGGGATATGATCTCCATGTATAATACATAAGGGGGGATATGATCTCCATGTATAATACATAAGGGGGATATGATCTCCATGTATAATACATAAGGGGGGGGATATGATCTCCATGTATAATACATAAGGGGGATATGATCTCCATGTATAATACATAAGGGGGATATGATCTCCATGTATAATACATAAGGGGGGATATGATCTCCATGTATAATACATAAGGGGGGATATGATCTCCATGTATAATACATAAGGGGGGATATGATCTCCATGTATAATACATAAGGGGGGATATGATCAATATGTATAATACATCAGTGGTTCATATAGTGAACTCGGTGTAGAGTTATTCACCCTGAGGTCATCACAGAGGACAAGGGGGCACTCCTTACGTCTGGAGGAAAAGAAATGTAATCTCCAAACACGGAAAGGTTTCTTCACAGTGAGAGCTGTGAAAATGTGGAATAGACTCCCTCAAGATTTGGTTCTGGCCAGTTCAGTGGATTGCTTCAAAAAAGGCCTGGATTATTTCTTAGATACACAGAATATAACTGGATACTAACATTTATAGGTAAGGTTGATCCAGGGAATATCCAATTGCCTCTTGGAGGATCAGGAAGGAATTTTATTCCCAGCAGGCCCAAATTGGATCATGCTTTGCTGGGGTTTTTTGCCTTCCTCTGGATCAACTGTGGGTATAGGGTTATAACTTTTTTTTTTTTTTATGGTTGAACTGGATGGACTTTTGTCTTTTTTTCAGCCAGACTAACTATGTAACATCAGCACCCTGCTATACATCAGAGGCCCCCCTGTACATAAGAGCTCCTCATAACATCAGTTTCCCCTATACATCATAGGGTCCCTGTATATCACAGACCCCCTATACATGCGTCCCCCCTCACAACAGAGCACCCCCTTCACAAATCCCCAATCCCCTTTTCCCCTTATCACAAAGCTCCCTGATCACACAGTCCCCTCTTTGCATCAGAGTCCTACATTTTAGCTCCAGCAAGCAGCAGAGGACAGGAGGTAGAGGGGGTCTTGAGGAGGCAAACTTCCATTTTCTCCTGAAAGCTGGAGCAGCTCTGCATACCACCTGCCCTAGAGTATCAGTGGCTGTTATGCTGTTGGCAGCTGGCCTAACCCAAGCCAACTCAACTCATGATGCTGATCCGGGGCAAGCTGAGTCCAGTGCTTATAGCAGCCTGGTTGAAAACACTGTTTAAAGTACTTTAAATACTGGAACACTGGAAGAACCAGTAGCATGTACTCACTCTTTTGCACAGTTTTTCTTAAGTTACATTAGGTGAACTTTTTTTCTGAATAGCATTGCTAGCTCAGGGACTCATTCCACTCACTACCTACACTGGTCATCAACTCAAAGAAATATTCTACGTACTCTAACAGTTTATCATATATATATATTGTGCTTTAATCTAATAGTATAAGCATTCATCACTATGTTTGTACATGTATTAAGATGATGTCACTGTCTTTTGTTTTCCTATGAAGAGTTGCCACCATTTCCCCTATGAAGATGCAAGGGCATACGGCTTCAAGAACGCCCTGGTAATTGTATCAGCAGAGCGAGCGGGAAATGGGTTGTATAACTTCATTGTTCCTCTCCGAGCTTACTATAGAGCCAAGAAGGAGCTGAGCCCTATTATACTTCTCCTGGAAAACCCGTGAGAACCAGCTGGCTATTTAAAATATGCTCTTGTATGTAATTCTTTGTATTCACACTTGCAGTTGGAGGCAGTAAAAATAGTTTTTTGTTAGAGTAGGGTAGAGTGGGGTTAATAATTTATGTATCGTCTTCTTTGTATTTATTTATTTTTTTGTTCGGGTTAGGGTGTTTATAATACTAATATATTAATACATGAATAAAAAATGTAAAATAAATAAAAATAATCATACATAAATAAAAAATAATAAATAAATACAATAAATAAAAATAAGAAATAATAATGAACCCCCTAACCATTAAAATAAATAAATAAATAAATAAATGAGGACTCGGTCTTCCAGACCTTCACAAATACTATCTTTAAGCAAACAACAAACAAAAAAAAGCTGCACAAGTAGTGAAAAAAAAGTGGAAAAATAGCTGCTTGCATGACAATCAGGTCAATTTGTACACAAATATTATAAATAAATTGCCATGCTCAAAAGTCACAACTGAGAATCTGTCACAACCATATAAGTGATAACATAAATGAGTCCAAATGTAGAAATT